CCCCCAGACCTCTCCACTGGTTCCCTACTCCACGCTGGCATGTTGCATTCACACCTTAGAGCACTGGGTTGAAGTCTGGTTCCTCTTTCCCTGTGGAGACATAAACAATACCCTCCACTTGGGTGGGTTAGCGCCCCGTGTCCCCGCTACCCATTTCTTCCTTATTTTCATTTTTTCCCCCTTTCCGCACCTCCTCCCCGGTTGTCTACCATGTGCATCCCAGCATTTGATCTGGTCCCTGCCATACTACTCGGTCCTCACCCCAAGAATGTTTGTATACAGTAGCTTTTTCCCTATGCCCCTTTTGCATTTTTTTTTTAACGCTTAACGCAGCGGACTCATATTGTATTTGTCCTTTTGTGCCTGACTAACTTCGCTTAGCATGATTTCCGCTTGCTGTTCACAAGCAGCGATGTGCTTCATCCGTTCATCACTGCTTTCTAAAGATGCATAGTACTCCATTGTATTTATATACCACAGTTTAGACTGCAGGGGAATATAGGGGAGAGAGGGGAAGAAAAGCAACTATGTAGCCAAGTCCCACTCCTCGCCCATGGAGCTGCAAGCTGCAGCTGAGCCGAGAAAAAGCCCCTGCACAGTGAACCCCTCAAAGACCGTGGGGGGACAGGGAGCAGAGATGCAAACAAAAACAACAATGTAGCTGAACCCCGATCCCTGCCCGTGGAGCTACAAGGGTTTAGTCCCCGCCCTGAGGTGTCGATGGCAAGATGTGGCTGTGCTGAAAAGCCCCTGCTCAGACCTAGACTGTGGGGGAAAAGAGTAGAGATGTAAACAAAAGAAACAATGTAGCTGTACCCCATCCCTGCCCTGAGGCTAATGGGGGCAAACTGTGGCTGTGTTGAGAGCAAATCCCCTTATTGGCTCCAAATGGTCCCGACTCCGTTAGAGACAGTGGCCGGGCCAAGGTTAAGCCCCAGTCGGCTTCCACCGAGGCAAGCCAAAAGGCCTCAGCCCCTCAAAACCCCGTGGGTCTGTGCCTACTTATTATGATGCTCCTCCTGCATTCCAGTTGTGTTAAAGTACCCTCTAAGCAACTCTTCTGGGCTGGATTCTTCGGAGTCCCTCTGGTATGTGTCACTCCGTCGCCTTCTTCCCCGCATCTTAGTCATAAAATTATTTTTGTTGGTACTTCATAACTATAATTTTTCTACTGTTATGAATTGGCTGACTCCTGTGAAAGTTTCATTTGACCCCCCACAGGGGTCAGGACCCACAGGTTGGGAACTCCTGCTTTAAAGGAATCAAAGATTATGACCTGGTTCACACCCTCTGGTAAGGTATATGACGTTTGCCCCAGGAAAACAAAGGTTGACTTGGCTCACACCTCGGAGGAAAGTCCCAAGGTACCAGGTCTATCTTCCAGCCATAGAACACTTGGTGACTCTCCATTTCCCTTATTGTAGCTGGACATTCTTCAGGAGAGAAGGCTTGGTGTCCTCATGTGCCCACCCTATTGTCCACAGTAAGGTCTGTGTTATGAGTGGCAACCTCAGCTGTTTGGTTGAAAAATAATGAGACTGTTTGGGTAGACAAAAATAGCTGCTTATAATTATCTCCTTTTATGATTTTTTAAAAATAAAAGTGGTTTCCAATAGCCAGTGAATCTGAAGTGGCATAAAATGTTATATTAGGTGCTATGAAATACTTTGCTCTGACTGTTCTGATTTAAGCTCTAGGATGTAGTTATGGCAGCCCCAAAATATCGTTATGCATTTCTAAATACCTGGTAGAAAAGTAAAATTCAAATGAATCATTTTAGTTTTAAGGTAAAACACAGAATATTGCTTCCTACCAAGAGATGTTGGAGAGTTATACACAGATTATTATTGCCGTTTCTGACAAGAATAGGATGAAAAATAATTTTTTAAACAAATATATATAATAAAACCATTCTTGAAGTCATGTCTAAACTAAGACACGCTTATAAAGTTTTTTATAGCATTAAGATTGAAATTAGACATATATGTGTACTTTATTTTCAAGGAGAAAGAATGATACCTAGAAACTTGAATTTAGCCACTAAATTTAAGTATAAATGATTTGGCTTACTAAAGCAATCTGGCAGTTACTTTTTAAAAGAGCTCTCTACAATTCCTATATGGCTTATGCACTTGATAAAGATTTTGGAGGACTAAGGGTCAAAAACAGAAACCAAAGTGTTACTGATTTCCATAACATAAGGGTTTCTGGAAGCCATAAGGGAAATATTCACATAGTACAATTCTGTGGCATTAATTATGTTCATTATGTTTTTCAAACATCATCACCATTAACGATTCCCAAATTTTCAGTCACACTTAAAAGAAGCTCAATGAACCCTAAGCATTATGTCTTCCTTTCCCTCTCTCCTACCCCTGCCTGCTCATGGAAACCACTAATAAACTTTGATTGCTAAATATTTGCCTATTCTGAATATTTTATATAAATGGAATCATAGAATATCTGTGTTTTGGTGCCTAATTTATTTCACTCAGCATGTTTTCCAGGATTACCCATGTTGTAAAGTGTTAAAACGACATCCTCCTTTCTCAACACTGCATATAGTTGTACATGTATATGCAGTGTACATTGGTGCAGGAGTATTTGTGCTCCTGTGTCTAATTCTTTTTAGTGTACACATAGGTAGGTTCTCCATCCTAACTTTTTTGAGGAGCCATGAGTCTGTTTTTCACAGGGGCTGTATCATTTTACAGTCTCATCAGCACTAGATGGATGAGGTTTCTTGTTTCTCCACATTCTGGCCAACACCTATTGTTTACCATTATTTTAAAAAATCTTAGCCATTCTAGTGGATATGAGTTTAGCTTCTTAACTTTTTATTTAAATATCATATACCTACTAAAAATTTCACATCAACCAAGATATAGAACAGTGCCAGTGAAACCCAACCAAGAGCCTGGCCTCCAGCTGCTGCAACCAGTCACAGAGGCGGTGAGAATCAGTGTACATTTTATTGACAGAGTAAGGACAGTTAGATCTTTCTCAGACTGTGTTGCTTTCTGCCATACAGTTGGGGATTTCATACTACTCTGCGTGAGCACATTTGTTTTATCACATTCCTTTTTCAAGGTTTATGGCTTTCCCATTGGGGAGTATAATTTATATTTTACGGAGTCACAGAATTCACATGGGTTTTCCACCTATGGGGCCCAAATCAATTTCTTCTCTGGCTCTCAAATTCCTGGTTGGTGTGTTCAGTTTTAAGGTATAAAACATTACCATTCCCTGGTAGAGTAGCAGGTAGACTGCAAGGAGTACCAGGCAGAAAGGACACAGATTCCAACTGAAGCTCATTCCTGAAATAGCTGTTTTCTTAGTGATTTTCTTGGTTTCTTTACTTTGCGGTAATCAAAGTCTTTACCTTTCAGGTGATTCTGATGTCTCCCAGAATTTGAGAACCACTGTTGTAGCACTTCTCAAGACTAGGATTCCACATCCTCAGCACTTTGGTGTTTGGGGCCAGATTATTTTTTGGTCTGGGAGTCTGTTACATGCATTGTACAATGTGTAGCAACTTCCTTGGCCTCTACTCGCTGGATGCCAGAAGCACTGTTGTAGTTATCACAACCAAAAATATCTCCATGCATTTCTAAATTACTGCTTGAAGGCCCAGAATGTGCTGGCTCAAAAGGTGTCAGGATGGATATTAAAAAGCATGCTATGAAAAAAAAAATAAAAAAAATAAAAAGCATGCTATGCACTATAGATAAGTAACTTGAAATGACAGCTATATGACAAAGCCAGTCCTCTAGTGGAGTTAGAGAACTCTTCAGTGGATGCTATCACCTGGCGTCATAAATAAGGGGTGCAATAGGAAGCTTACCTCCTGCCATTACCTCTGACTTGGTGGGCTCAGTTAAATGAGTTGAAAGCTTTTGCTACATATGCTGACCATTAGCACCAAAACTAGGGAGACCTCCAAGGTACCTGGTTCAGCCATTTTTATACCCAAAGCCCATGTGACAAGCTACATGGACAAACAGGCCTGGGGATAACAGAGGGAGTGGCAGTCTCATACTGCCTCCCTGTCTAAGGTCTATTGTCAAGGTAATGAGTTGAGCACTCCTAACTCAAACCAAGTTAGTTGTTCCACAGTAATAATAATCATGCTTTTTCAAGTGTTTTAATATAGAAAATGTTTTTCCTTTTTGCCTTCATTAATTCACTTTTAAATTTTCATTGATTAAAGAGCTACTTAAATCATAAATGGATGAAAGCCAACATAAGTTACAGATTTCATTGTGAGATGTTCATTTTTTTACATTAAATGTAAATCATTGAAAACCTCTTAAGTCTCATTAAAAATATTTAATATTGCTCTATTTCTGAATTTTGCTTAGTACTCTCTTAATGAAAGTATTTTTACTACTGATATTCTACTTTTCAGCTCTTGAAAAGAAATATAACTTTTAAATAATGACTGTTATCTTTTACTTCCATTTTTCTGTGAACTTTTAAAATTCTCATTATATATAATACTTTGTCAGCATAGCCATCTCTGTCTAAGTATAGGATATAACTTATATTACATATAAGTTATATATTATATATAAGTTATATAAGTATAGGATATAACTTATATAGGATATAACTTATATTGCAGAATCAATTAAAAGAATGTTTCTATGTTTCAGGAGAATAAGTCACCTTATCACTATTGGAAAACACTCCAGAAACTTTTGGTAATTTTCTTTCCTGTTTGAATTAGAAAAGTTGTGTGTTTGTAAGTGAATTTCCACTCAAAGCAACACTGTACAACAGATGAAACCCTGAACAGTCCTGCTCCATCCTTGCAATTCATTGCTCTGCTTGAGCCCATTGTTGTAACATCCTATCAGTTCATCTTGTGAGCATTTTACATTTTTCATATGGACCTTTTCCTTCGCCAAAATGGTGCCCTCCTTCAGCAACTGGTCTCTCTTGATGCTCTTGTGGTGGTTGTTAGTTGCCCTGGAGTTGATTCCAACCCATAACGCCCCTGTGTACAACAGAACGAAACACTGCCCAGTATTTAGCCATCACAACTGATCTTATGTTTGAGCCCATTGTTGCAGCCACTGTGTCAGCCCACCTCAATGACAGTCTTACTCTTTTTACGCTGCCCTTTCACTTTACCAAGCACAATGCCCTTTTCCAGGAACTAGTGTCTCCTGATAATATGTCCGTAATGCCTGAGATGAAGCCTTAGCATTCTTGCTTCTAAGGGGTGTTCTGGCTGTGTGGATCATAATAATTTTTTTCTTTTCAATTTTTTATTATAAATTAAGTGGGAGTTTAAATTTCAGATAATCAACTTAGTATTAAACAGTTTAAACTAATAATCAACCCTACCCCACCCTCAATAGTTTGTCTTTCACCCATTCCTTAATTTTTCTTCTCCCTTTTGTGGACTATTTCATATGCTTTTTAGACATTTGAATGTTATCTTTGTTGAACTATTTGTTCACAGATCATAGTAATTTATGGATAAGATTACTTCTTACAACACAGATTTCTTTATTCTTTTGGCAGCCCATGCTGTATTTAATGTTTGTCACCAGTACCATAAATTAAAGGCTTAATTTCTTCTCCAATTTCCCACTATTTGTTGTCTAGTTTTCTAATGCTTTTGAAGCCACTAAAAATATCAATACTTGGATCAAGTGCAGTCTCAAGATGTGACATCTCTGCTTTTTTAACATCTTTAAAGAGATCTTTAGCAATAAATTTGTGCAATGCAATACTGTGTAATTTTCACTAGTATTTCCTATTTCATCTATAGGTTTTAATATCCATTGCAATGGCTACCCAGGTCAGAGACAAAATTCATGATTAAAGGGTTTATTAAAGAAGCCAACAAGTTGTAATGCTAGTAAGCAATGCTAGGGTCGGGTTTTTTTATCAGTACATGTTACAGAGTTTTTTCAGAGTTGCTAATAAATGCCCAAAGGAGCATACCACTGCACTGTAATTGTAAGCCTCAACTTGAAGGCATTCACCTCAAACTCTGTGAGTCAGCATACCCAACTCCCCAAATTAAGAGCCCAGAGGCACCCCACTCCACATCCTGCACAAAAGCACTCCGTTTTACTTGCTCTGTGGATTGGGAAGTCCATCACTCGGTCCGTGCTCTGGCTCCTGGTTCTGCTGCTGCTCCTCTGACATGGAGGTTTACTGTTTAGGAATCTTGGATTCAGAGGACATGCTCCACTCTTGGCTTTTGCTGGTAATGGGATCCTTCTCAGAAGGCTCATTTTATACACTGCAGGATGGTATTCCATAGAATCCTATTTGCAATTACAGCTGAATCCTATCAGTATCGTTCCCTGCCTTCTTAACAGACCCATGCAATGAAAGGTCTTTAAGTTGGAGTTACAGGCTTTGGCTAGAAGAGTCACATTAAATGATTCACTGCAAATACATTGTTTGATTTCTGATTGCTGCTGCCTTGTGTGTTGATTGACGAGCCAAAGTAAAATGAGATCCTAGACATCATCAATATTTTCTGCACTTATCATGATGTTGCCTATTGGTTCATTTGTATGGTTTGTGTTAATTGAGGTGTAATCTATAGTGAAGCCTGCATCATCTGCATATTGCAGATTATTCATGAGTTATCATCCAATCTTCATGCTGCCGCTTTCTTCATATAGTCTCACTTCCAGGATTATTTGCTCAGCATACAAATTGAATAAGTATGGTTAAATGATACAACCCTGACACACACTATTAGCTTTCTTTGTTTTAAATGATACAGCATTCCCTTTTTATGTTCAAATGACTGTCTCTTCATCTATGTAGTTTATTTTTTTGTTGAAGTTTTGTAATATTCATTTATTGATTGTCATATTTATAATCATGCTAATAAAAAACCAAAATATATTTACCAAAAAACTTTAAAGCCCAGTGCTATGTACAGTTTCTACATGAGCACAATTAAGTGTTCTGTAATTCCATTTTGCACAATGTTATTATCCATAAATTATTATTAGCTATACAATCAAATGCCTTTGCCTAGTTGATAAAACACAAGTAAACCATCTTTCTAGTATTACCTGCTTTTAGCCAGTATCCATCTAGGCTCAGTAATGATATCCCTTATGTCACTTATATTCTCTTCTGAATCCAGCTTGATACTGAATTTTGGCAAGTCTCTGTTGTGTACTACTGATATTTTTTTAAAAATGTCACCTCAGCAAAAGAATAATTTATCTGATAAGAATTGGAAAGCAATCTGGAAACTTTGTGTAATTTTCTCCCTTACCTTAATTGAAAAATTAGAAGACTCATTGTAGCTCTTAGAATTATACTAAATACAGTGTATTATTTTGCACTCATCAAGGGCCCATTCTCTTTTAATATTTGATATTATAGCAAAGGCTATGTAATTCTTAAGCCAACAACCATGAGACATATCTAAGAGCTTTGAAAAAACCCATGAGATCACTTTATATAGATATCTATTTTTCTATTTTATACCATTGGCCAAAATTAACCTGATTAATTCTGAATATATTTACTAAGAGATGCTTGCTTATTAGTATTTCTATGTGTCCTTGATTCCATTAAGTCATAAATTATCTCTGGCTTACTTTTGGAAGGATTTACAAGACAAAATAGTCAGTGGATTAGAATGGACAGTCCAAAAGTAAATCTAGATCTGTATGGTGATTTCATATATTACAGATGAGAGGGCAAGAGATATGTTATGCAATGAATTATTTTGAACAATAAGCTGCTCATGTGGGAAAAAAGAAATCTCAAGTGCTTTTTCCACTCATTAAGTAAATATAAATTCTGGTTGGAGTAAAGATTTTAAATATTCAGAACTGTGACTAGAACCTCTGTTTAATCCGCAATTACTGTGCATTTATCTAGGTGACTTTAAACTGGAGACCTCAAAAACTGGATAGCCCTCAACTCAAATCATAGGATTCCAAGAAGTCCTATAAATGTATTGAAAGCAGTATGACGCATGCTGTTAGAATCATTAAGAAGTAGATTTAAATTCTGTTTCTACTTCTTACTCAGACTTTCTGCAAAGTACAAACTACTTTGAGTCTCCATTTCAGTTCATATAAAAGGAATAATAATATTTACCACAAATGATTATTTTAGAGGATTAGATGAGGTTACATTATTGAAATGCTTATCAAATGGCAGGGTAAAAGTTAACATTTAATACATTTTTATCAAACCGGATGAAGAAACAGTGAAGTCTTTAGCTGGCCCATATAGTAAAAGATGAGATAATTCTTTGGAATCTATTTCCATTAGCAAACATTATTTAGTACTTATTGCATGCCTTGTATCAAATAATTAAAATCTTATTTGAACTAATAATATTAATAAAGAGATTAGTACTTTTTAAAACTCTCAAATGGGAAAGACAGGTTTTTAGAATATATATATTGGTGAATATTCTAAATAACATTTTTATGATCACATTGGCAAATGTTTACTATTGAAATATATAAAAATAAAGAAGATGAAAGGGAAAAAATATAAGAAGATCCACTATTTACCATCCAGCAGTAACTACTGTACTACTAGTAACATTTTTATGTGGATACGTCCAAATTATTTTTGATGTGTCTTTACGTTAAAAGGTATTGCTATAAAATCATAGAACCATTAATTAAACAAAAATATCAAAATGTTGTATTCTTTTTTTTTTGAAAGTCAGGTTTTATAAGAAAAGATTTTGATTGGTGAGATGTTTTATACTTGAAAAATCTCCTAACATTGTTACTTACTCTAAAAAAGACATTTTCAGATGTGCTGTAGTATCTGGTGCTAGTTTAAAGAGACATGTTTTAGAAGCATTTTCCTCAGGAAAATAAAGAGCTCAGTTTGGGTAAAACCATGCAATATCCATTTCTCAGGATAACTATTAAGAGAGAATGTATTACAGAGATGAAATACTCATGAAATTTCCAAGTAGTGGATGAAATGGTACTTAATAAGCTATTTATGTAAATCTCTCACTTCAGTGTTTGCTTGGGCTTAGTTTAGCATATAACTTGTTTTTAATAAATGAAATTATAGAGTTTTTACTTCAGGTTTTGCTGATATTAGTTGGATAAGGGGGAGATACTATGCGCTACTTCTTCAATTTTTTATAACCATGCTAATGTAGAATAATAAATTTGAGGTAGAAAAAACACTTGCCAGTTATCAGTTGTTTTTGACATTATTGCCATAACTGAAATTTTGGTTCAGATATATACTTACTAAAATTGAGAAAAAGACAAATTGTATATCTTAGGAAATTGAGTTTTATGTTATCCCCAGTGTTAGTGAAAAAGTGGAAGAAATCAGTGGGATGGATTGACACTTTGGCTGCAACAGTGGTCTCAAACATTGCAGTGATTGTGAACATGGCCCAAGTCTGGACAGTATTTCATTCTGTCCCTATGAGTTGGAACCAACTTGACAGCACCTAACACCAGTGTGTATTACCTAATAAATGCAATATCTGTACCAGTCCATTTACTGTGGCAATATAATTCTGCTCTGTGGCATACCTTATTATTGTCAGTAAAGAAGTTGATACCGTTTTGTATGTAAAAATATAAATTCTTCTGAGCATTTTTTATATTATGTTCTATGGTAGATTATTGTAAATAAAGGGACTTCTTTTTTATTCATTTTTTTCCCCTTTAGTTTGCTGGAAACCATGTCTCACTATACAGATGAACCCAGATTTACCATAGAACAGATAGATCTGCTTCAGCGCCTTCGGCGTACTGGAATGACTAAACATGAAATCCTCCATGCTTTGGAAACTTTGGAACGTCTTGATCAAGAACATAGTGACAAGTTTGGAAGAAGGTCCAGCTATGGAGGAAGTTCATATGGGAATAGTACCAATAATGTTCCAGCATCTTCCTCTACAGCTACAGCTTCCACACAGACCCAGCATTCGGGAATGTCCCCATCACCCAGCAACAGCTATGATACCTCCCCACAGCCTTGCACTACCAATCAGAATGGGAGGGAGAATAGCGAGCGATTATCCACCTCCAATGGAAAGATGTCACCAACTCGCTATCATGCAAACAGCATGGGTCAGAGGTCTTACAGTTTTGAAGCCTCAGAAGAGGACCTAGATGTAGATGATAAAGTGGAGGAATTAATGAGGTCAGTGGCTTTGCTTTCTCAGAGTCCTCAACAAGTGTGTATATCCTTAGACAGTTTTTGGATAATAAATTACATTTCAGCTACTTATTTATAACAACTGTGATTTCTTACCTTCCCTCCTTTTGGAATTGAAAGAAAAAATTTCAGATTTTAAGGATTTACCTTTTCTTCTCTCACATTAATGCTTTCTCTCTGCTGTTTGAGAAATCTTTTTCATTTTCTGTTTATCAAAGATTAGTCTTCTCTGAGGCTCTAGTTGCTCACTTCTGGCTATCAGTTGTATTCAAATCCCTAAATCCATTGTATATACTTCACCTGAGCAATAAGATAATTTTATAATAATGTAGAATTTGTACACGTTTAACTTTTCCTGCCAGCATTTAAGTCAACAGAGTAATTTGAGCATTTATTATATAAAAAATAATGTTCTTAGAAGAAAAATTGGTATATTTTCTACCCCTTAAAAACATAAAGTTCTAATTTTTGGAATAGCTTCTTTGTATATATTTTAATATAATTCTTACCAGGTAAGTGCTAAGCACATAGGGATTTCATCACTTAGAAAATGTGTCCATTTTCAACAGTGGTGTTAGAACAGGCTTCATTCACACTGGACCCAAAGCATTTGAATGCAGGAGCTGTCTTATTCATTGCTATAATGCCACTATCTAGAACTGCCCCTGGCACATGAGGGCTCAGTATGTTTAATTAATTTAGCCAAACCTTAAAGAATAGCCACAACTATAAAATGTGAGAACTTTAATTTGAAGTTACTACTACTCAAATGTAAAACCCTGGTGGCTTACTGGTTATGCATTGGGCTGTAATCTGCAAGGTCAGCAATTTAAAACCTCCAGCTGAGGGAGAGAGATGGGGCTTTCTACACTCAGAGAGAGTTACAGTTTCCAACAGGATGTATCTCAGAGGTGTCAGGTCGTGGGGGTCACCCTTTTGAAGTTGTGTTATATTTCTTTCAGTTTTTTGTGTATGATACCTAGGACTGATGAACCTAAACAGGTAACAAATAGAATAAGGGTTTGAGGGGAGGAGAGTACAGTGGTGGTGGCTGAAACGGAGATGAAAACGGAGATGATGTCAAGGAGTCTATGTAGAAAAGGAATGTTTGGGAACTGATTTGGGTAGCAAATGTACAGCGCTGTTGGGCATGATTGAACTGTGGAATGATTTTATATATATATATATATATATATATATATATAAAAACTAATATATTTTTTAAATTCAACAACTTCTTTTTTAAAAAAAGCTACAGTCTCATATTCAAAGGGAGCAGTTCTGCCCTGTACTATAGAGTCACTTGAGGTAGCCCCGACTTGATGGCAGTAAGTACTCAGTATAAAGAAATCATGGCACATGCAGTCTGATAATGATTACATATGAGCTAGACTGTAATAATAATGTCTTATTAGATAGTGCCAGTTTAGAAGGCTTTGAGTTCCATAGTAAATCAGTTATGTTTACGTTAGTTAGAATCAAGTTATACAGGCTCTAACAGTAAAGACAAAACAAAAAATCACTGCCATTGAGTCAGTTCCAACTCAGTGATTGTGTAGAACAGAGTAGAACTGTTCCTTTGGGTTTCTAAGATTTTAAATCTTTACAAGAACAGGCAACATCTTTCTTCCTCAGAATGCTTGGTGGTTTTGAACAACTGACCTTTGGGTTACCAACTCAGTGCATAACCTACTATACCACTACTACTCCTAAGAAGAGAGGTGATATTCAGAAGATTATCATTACTATATAAGTGCAGGAGTAGGGAGATCCGCATACAATTTAGGTACAGTAGATGATGAAAGATATGGAAGGAATTGTCAGTTACAGTAAGACTTACAATGTTCTCAATTCTAGTTCTTTTAAATTATTTTACAACATAAAAAGTGCAATAGTGACTTAATGTTGCTATGTGAAAAATCCATCTTGTATTTCTATAAAAGTGAAATAACTCAAAGAAATATGGACTTTTGGGTAAAATGGACTGTTGTTTGTGGATTCCAATGTAGTTCCTGTAATAGATAATTTCATAAGTTATTTATCTTCTAAAATTTGAAAATATAGGAGTGCAACTTGACTTTGATTCCTTTTTTCCATGTTAAAGCACTTGGCTAAAGATCAGATGTTACTTTTGAACTTAACGTAAATGAAAGGGTAGAGCAGTTGGAGAAATGAAAGGTTTTTCTGTCTTTGAAAATTAACAAAATTAGCTTCTAATCCTGAGTTGAGGAAATTCATTAAAAAATTTGTTTCTTAGGTTGCTAGCCTGGTTTTTATTTTGCTATTAGCATTTTGATCAGCTTTGGGGATAACTGTTAATTTTCAAATGCATTATACTAAGAAGTTTGATAGAACTTTATCTTTAACAAAAGGGTCTAGAAGATTGGTTGGTTTAATAAGAATCTAATAAAATCTCACTGTTAGTAGTTGATATCCCTCAAAATAGAGAACCCATATAGCAGCTACTAGGATTTATAGTTCAATCCCCATGTTACACACACTCAAGTTTCTGTTACGCATATGTTTTACACTTAGTTATTTACATAAAAGCTGCTGATTGCTCCTAACTTGGAAACTTTATCTTCTTTACTTTTCTCTGGTTCTTTCTTGATTGCTGCTTTGTTATCCTTTAAACACGAAGGGTTGTCATTGGGTCTTTTGTTTTTCTTTTATCATCTGCCATTGTATCCTTGCTCACAGTTGTACTGCTTCACTCCTCCACTGCTCCCTACCTCTCATTTTCCTCAGCATTATTCTAGAGTGCAGATGTTAGTTATTCTTCTCAGGTCAGAGGAGAACGTTTTTTGAATGTCTGCTTTTACTTTTAATTCTTACAGCCATCTTACAAGGTTGGTAGAGAAAGATTGAAATTCACAAAAATGAAATAATTTGCCTAAGAAAATTTAAATATTAAGTGGCAGCTGAATTCTAGCTCATGTGTTTAATACTAGTATGTCACTGATAGCTATTGTCTCTGTAAATAAATTTTCATATCTATAGAAAGTGAAAGCTTTAATGAGCTTACCATCCCAAATGGTATTTGCTACTGCATATCAATCATTTATTAACTAAGTGAATTTACATGTGATGGAACATTAGAGAAATTTTTAAGCATTGGATCTGAGGGTCCCATGACCACTTAAGACTCATACTCTCTTGCTGTTCATTCAACACTATGGTGATATTAACAAAATGGATTTGGTGGTGTCTAATTGGGGGAGAATGAAGAAGGCCTCCTTGCTTCATTTTCTTCTTACATAATTCACCTCTTGCTGCCCACATTCTCCAATCTCTAAGGCACTCAACAATAAAACATATTTGTTTTAAATTTCATAACCCATGTATCCACAACTGCTAACCATTTCAAGGTACATTTTTTTAGGACCCAGTCAAGTTATAATTGTATGGTTGATTAATTGAATCAGAAAGAAACTACTGATTTTCCATTTTTTGTAAAAAAATGAAAGCTAAATTCGTGCAAACTCAACAAATTATTGATTATTGCACTTTAAAGAGAATTTTAAGTTAGTTAAGAGCTAGAATGAAGATCCATTTTATGTTTTAATGTTTGTAAACCACTAATATATTGTATATGGATGTATATATATACACACTTATATACACCTACACACATATCTGATAAAATATCTACTGATATATATCTATTGTCCAAATATTATAAAATAATTAAATAAAACCTATCAGAACTAATGAATGCTACACACTAAAGATATTATTCTTAACCTTCTGTATATTAAAGTTTGAGTATTTTGTAGGGATCCCTGGTAGCATAGTGGTTATGAATTGGGCTGTAATCTGGAAGGTCAGCAGTTTGAAACCAACAGCCACTTCTTGGGAGAAAGGCCGGGCTTTCTACTCCCATAAACAGTTCTAGTCTTGGAAACTCACAGGGGCAGTTCTACTCTATCCTATGGGGTTGGCATTGACTTGATGGCAGTGAGTTTTCTGATATTTGTATTTTGTAACAAGTTGTTAGGCTTTCTTCTAAGTAGGTCACCTATGGCCACACAATAGAGTATTTACTTCTGTAGGTAGGGTATGATACGTTCACAATATATACTCTTATCACTTTAATAGTTTGAGTATGTTTTCTTTCAGAGTTATCTTTAAATTTTTTTAAATTGTTTTCTTTATCTCCATAGCTAGAAGTTAAAAGCTGCAAATTTTTATTTAAACATGAAAGAATTTATCAATATATTTTTCAACTGTGCAATAGTCTGTCTTGGTAAGTAATGCTCCATCTCTAAAAGTCTAGATGCCTAGATGGGTAGCTTTAAAGGCTCCTAAAGTCTGTATTATATATATTATCTACAAGTGAATGGAAGATCTTAAATATACCTTTTTTTAAAAATGGGCTGTTTCCTCCTGTAGTCCAGAAAAGGAGAAACGATATCTTTTTGAGCTAGTCTTAATAATTATTTTCCATTTTGACTTAGGGAGCTTAAACAAATATGAGAATAGAATTAGAATGTAGAGTTTTTAAAAAAACATCTAGATCAGGTGTTCCATTTTATGTAACCTTTTATCTTAAATTACAGTTTTTTTCATTTAATGAACAAATTAAACTCTTCTGTTCTTATATATACAAAGTCCATGATGAATTATACACAATCTTTACAGGCTCTTGAGATAAGACAAGATCAGAAACAATTATAATACAGAATAGCATGTACTGCATTAATATGTAAGCCATATAATTGAAATGCTGAATTAGGTATTGGAAGAAAATATCTTTTTTAGCTGGGGAGAGCAGGGAGGATTGCTCGGAATAGGTAACAGCTACTTTGTATCTTTAAAAGGGAGTGTTTCCATAAACGTCATTATTAAGTTCATCTAGACATTGGAAAAGATCTGAGTGTGAGTAATGTAAGTTTCCAAAACCAGACTTACAGCCATTGAGCTGAAAGTGACTCATAGTGACCCTATATGACAGGGTAGAACTGCCCTTGTGGGTTTCTGAGACTGTAAGTCTTTATGTAGAAAGGCCTCTTTTTTACACCCAGCATGCCTGTTGGTTTCCAGTTGCAGACCTTGGGGATCACAGCTCAACAATAACCACTAAGCCACCCGGGCTCCTTATGGAAAGTTCAGCAAGCTATACAAATAAGAATGGTGGGAAGATTCATACCTGGGTTTGATTCCTGGGTCATACACCTCATGGGCAGCTATTGTTTCTCTGTCAGTAGATACCGGTATATTCTTATAATGCTAATTAGGATTCAACATTGCTTCTAGACTAAGACAGACTAGAAAGAAAGGCCTACTGATTTACTTAGGAGAAATCAGTCTTTTAAGACCCTATGGATTAAAATGGTTCTTTTCCAATGATTCACAACATGTGAGTCTTGACCCCTTTGGGAATCAAATGACCCTTTCACAGGGGTCACCTGATTCATAACAATAGCAAAATTATAGTTATGAAGTAGCAGCAAAAGTAATTTTATGGTTGGGGGGCCACTATAACATAAGGTACTCTATTAAAGGGTCACGGCATTTGGAAGGTTGAGAACCACTTCCATTGTGAATGAGGATTCTGAGTCAGAAGCGTAGTCCACTGGAGCTAGACAAGTTAACAGCTTGTGAAAATTTGAATAAGAAAGTTAACCCAACCTACCAAGAAAACCCATTGCCATTAATTTGATAACCCAATGGTTTATCAATGTACGTCTATAAAATATAACCATGAAAATTAAATGCTGTTTCGTCTTTGAAAATACCTTGTACAGGATAAGCTATTGGGAGGTTTGATGAGTTATTTAAGTTAGTGAATCAAACCTGATGACCTGATAAGTAAATTTTATCTAAACCACAATAAAAATTTAATAAAGGAGAAAGCCTTTTAGAACCAACTAAATGACACAACTGCTTTTATGTTAAATTGACTTTACAGAAATCTCTTTACTTCAAATTATCTGTCACTGAGGTAGTCTTATAAAGTTAATAGGGCAGTGGTTCTCAACCTGTGGGTTGCGACCCCTGTGAGGGTCGAACGACTCCTTCACAGAGGTTGCCTAATTCATAACAGTAGCAAAATTATAGTTATGAAGTGACAATGAAAATAATTTTATGGTTGGGAGTCACCACTACATGAGGAACGAATTGTATTAATGGGTTACAGCATTAGGAAGGTTGAGAACCACTGTTATAGAGGATCAATTGTTTCTACTTCCCATGCAGTCTTTCCTAAGGCTTTATAAAGTAATGGTCAATATATATTACAGCTTTTATACTTCCAAAATTAGCATTACATAAAAAATTTATGTATTATAAACATTATGATTTCAGTTCAGTTCTCGAAGATAAAAATATTAAGCCTGGTGAGGGGTATTCATACCCTGAATTTCTAGATAATGAAATCAAAACTCAACTTGACTAAATGACTTGCCCAAGTATACCTTTATTTCTTAAGTTGTAGGTATTTTTTCCCTTCAATATGAAAAAGCTTCTCTGAAAAATCTGTTGAATAAATAGTATGTTATTTTGTCCTGTTTACTCATTATGGGTTCTAAATCTGTAGGCTCTGAAAGGATAAATTGTTGATGAATTTTAAGTAAATTACTGCTATCTTGCAAACTTTCAGGCTTCCTTTATTTGCTGTAGTCCTTTGATAATACTATATTACAAAATTGTGACAAAATCAGAAACTGGATAATTTCCTATTGAATAATTGAGTGTTATCTTTTCTGTATGATTTATTAGTGCCTACTGTGGGTATATTTGATTTAAAATAAAATAATTTTAATTAAATTTAAAACAATCAAGAAAACACCATTTAATAATTTTTACCCACATAACACATTTTGTATTTAACCATAATATTCTCTTAAACGCTGTTCTTTTTTCCTTACAATATTCTATATGTTGAAATATATTTTGCTTAAATTTTCTTTCATTAATTTTGCATCTCTATCAAAAACAGCTGCTTTGGTTATTTTATTTTCATAAGCCAATTGGAATAGCTAGATACTTGTAAAGACATTTCTTGCTCAACTGTTTAGAATGGACATTTGAAGATTGTTCCACATCATCTGTATTTTAATCAACAGTTATTTTGCTTTTCTTTTAAAAGCATATTTATTTTTGCCTTTTCTTTCCAGCATACAATTTTAAAATAAAATAACGATGCATATTTTTCAAATAAAGATTTCAAATAGAAATGTACTTTTAGAGAAATCTTAGCCAGTACAAAGGAGCACTGGTGGTGTGGTGGTTACTTCTTGGGCTGCTAAACCTCCAGTAGGCCCATGAGAGAAAGATATGGCTTTTTAGCTCCCATAACGAGTTACTGTCTTGGAAATGCATAGAGGCAGTTCTACCCTATCCTATAAGGTCTCTGAGTCAGCCTTTCGGTATCTTTTTAATTAAGATTTCCAACCAGTGGATCAGGAAAACTCCTGTAATGTTCCAACATGGAAACTGTTAGCACCACTGCCTTTCTCCTCTCTTCCAGAATTTCCAAACACAGGCTGAATATTACAGTCTCTTCTCACTGAGAAGTCAAAAACCTGGTCCAGATTATATCACAACTGATTGTTTTGGGATAGAATATTTTTCATTAATTTCGTCAAATAATCAACAGAGAAATTTGAGCCCCTAGAAAGAGTTTGGGTTCTGTTCACAAAATTATTTATAAAGGTTTGAACCCTTGTGTTACATTATGTCAAGGTTTACAAACTTTTTCTGTAAAAGACTAGGTAGTAAACATTTTAGATTTTGTGGCCAAGGAGTAAATTTGAGAACACAGTACATAAATATTTATAGGACAGAATAAATTTCTACAAGATTTTTATTGACAAGATTTAAAATATCATAAGCATAATTGTGTACATTATTTTGTATCACAGCTGTACTAATGAATGGAATTTTTAAAGATGTGATTATAGTTTGCCTAAGTCTCTGAGACAGTTGACTGATGGCAGTAAGTTTAATGGGATTTTTGTTGTTGTTACTGTGAAATCAATTGTGAATGTTCATCTGTGAAAGCAGTTCTTGCAGGTCGTACAAAAACAGCTTAAACACTGGAGTTAGCCCCTCTGCATTAGAAAATTAATTACTATTATTCTGTGACTTTTAAAGTTGAACAAAAATCAGTGCTCTATTTATATAAGTCTTTTGAAAATAAAGCATTGAAAGAGAAAGTGGTCAATCCAAAGGATTTCTAGTCTTCTGAAAATTTGTTATTTAAAAAAAAAAAAAGTAAAATTTTATAAAATGTTATCTTACTACAGGAAGAATGAGACCCATCATTATTAATCCAGAGGACACAAAATATAGTAGTCTTTAAATTCTAAATATTCTGATTTACATGTAACAGTAAACAACTAAGTACCTTTTTTAATATTAAAATTTTATATTTAACCCTTCCCGCTTTATGTATATTTTTATTTATACAGGGTAAAAAAATGGGCAGATTAAGGACAGCCTTTCTTCTAATGGGTAATAATGTTAGCAGTTGTAAGGATGAGGATGAGATTTCTATGTTCTTATCAAAGGTTATAAAAATAAACATCTATGCAGTGGCATAATTAACATGCTACTCACATTTGATTGTTTTGTTGCTTTTATTTTTCTAGGGTTTCTGTCTGTGTAAAATATATTCATTCCCCAGTAATGAAACTTAGTATATACCATATGGCAGCCTTGTTCTTAATGTGAATTATACCTAGCATGCGATTACCCAGTCTTCTGGTATGAGACTTATTATCTACTGTGGCATTTACTAAAGCATCTGGCTGATGATGTGATGTATTAGGACTTGAATATTTGGTGTTTCCTGATTTGTTTTGATTTCATATTTTCATGCATTTGGTCTTTTTTATCTTTTATTTTTGTGTCCTTTTTTTCTGTGTTCTCCCTGCCTTTCTGCTTCACCGATTTTAGCAAAGATGAGGATTTCTACCGTCAACATACATTGTTGGTCTTGTCTTCTGTTTTTGTTAGGAGGGACAGCAGTGTGATAAAAGAGGAAATCAAAGCCTTTCTTGCCAATCGGAGGATTTCCCAAGCAGTTGTTGCACAGGTAACAGGTAAGAGCTTAAGAGCCCTTTATTCTGGAATCATGTCTAGTCTCTGCCTACTGCTGCAGATGTTGGAATAGTACTTGGATTTCTGCAGTGCAGTGCAGATCTGTCAACTTGGGCATAATAATGTATGCCTGTGCTGATACCATGGAACTTCTCTAGTCTTTTTTTTTCCCCCTGAGCTTGTGCTGGTAAATTTTATAGCTCTTTACTGATACGAATTTTCCTACTTTGTAATTTTAAAAGGGTTTATCCACATGCACATCCAACTTCTATTACCCTATTTTTTAAACTTTTAATGTAATCCCTGATTTAATCCTGATTTTACCAATTAAAAAATAACTTGAGAGGATAAAAGAAGTCGCTTTTAAACAACTTTCCTATATGTGAAAGCTTTCCTCAAACATTACTGAGAAGATAAAAGTTTAATGTCCATTAACATTCTCTTCTCTTAGTTTTTTGGTCCCATCCCATTCCCCTTGACACCCTACCTCCACTTCAGTCCCATCCCTAGTATGTGGTCATCCCTAGTACATGTGTCATTCTCTATTTCTATGGCGTTCTTCTTTTGGGGGCTGGTCTGTCTTTTCTGTGTGCATGCAGCTGTCCTTTCTTGGATCTCTGTGATTCATGTTGTGGCTAGGTGCTGTTGAGTCTGTTCTGACTTATAGGGACCCTGTATGGCATAGGTTCCCAAACTTCTTTGGCCTACCACCCCCTTTTCAGAAGAAAATTTTACTCAGCTCCCCCAGTAATTAAAAATGTTTGTCTTATAGCCTGTTCCATGATACAGGTATCTGCTTTTGCAGTCTCCCTGGATTGTTCCAGCCACCTCAGTGGGCATTATCACCCACTTTGGGAAACACTGCTGTATAGGGTTTCCAAGGCTGTAAATCTTTATTGGAGCAGATAGCCTCATCTTTTTCTTGTGAAGGAACTGGTAGGTTTGAACTATGGACCTTACAGTCAGCAGTTTAATGCTTACCTGAAGGTGCCACCATATAGGAAGTACCCTTAAAAAAAAACAACTAACTGTGCTTTGCATGAGAGGAATCTGAAACACTTTCAATGATTTTTTTTTTTTGTAGACTAAGATACAGAGATAGTTATAAAAACTTATTTACTCCTTTCCTCCTTTTTTTTTAATGCCACTGTCAAGCTATGTTTCATCTATGTCTCAGTTTTATCACCTCTACAGTGAAATAGTTGGAGTTGATATTCAGCAGTACCTTCTAGTGCTAAGATCCTTTTTCTGCTATCTAGACATTACTACATATGAAAGCTAGTTTACCTAAAAGGTTATTCTTGTGCTGGTTGTTAGATGCCACCAAGCTGGTCCCAAATCATAACAACCTTATGTACAATGAAATGAAGCACTGACATCTTGTTGGAGGTCTTCTTATTTTTTGTTGACCCTCTGCTTTACCAAGCATGATGTCCTTCCTCGGGGACTGGTCTCTCCTCAAAATCTGTAAGATGATGATGTCTTGCCATTCTCACTTCCAAGGAGTGTACCGTGCTTCTCCGAAGACAATTGTTATTGACCATTTGTATAAAAATGAATCTTATATCTTAAATTTTATCTTGACAGTGTTAGATCTATATTTTGTGTAATGTGTGTGTTTGCACATATACATAGAGCTATGCACACACACATACGTACAAGTTACATTTTTATCAATGCCTACTTTTTTAATATCTAAAAGCTTTAATGTATGCCTTTCCTTACAGAAACCTTATGCAGTGGATGATATGAATTTAATTGTTGAGTTGTTAGGTGTTCTTCAAGGGGGTGTTTTTATACAAATTGTTACCTTTATTTTCAAGGACTACCGTATATATTCGTGTCTAAGCTGAGTTTTTCAGCACATTTTTTATGTAGTTTTGTGGTAAAATTAGGTGCCTCGGCTGATATTCAGGGTGGCTTATACTCAGTGTATGTGCTAAGTTATTGTGCTAAGGACACTGTGAGAGCAAGTCAACAGGTTTTACTGAAGTCTGCTGATAAGGAGTGTGAAAATAGAGAGTGTTGTCATTTAGCACTTTGGCTTCAGCCCTAAGATTAGAAGTAATAATATTTTCTAGTTTGCAAACATAAATTTAAAAAAAATTTAGTGTTAAGGAACAGCAGCATTAGAAAATTCTTTTTGTCCAGAGAGGGGAGGAAAGAACATGTATGAATAGCATGAATACCCTAAATCTTAAATCATCATAGACTTTTAAAATAATTAACTTTTGAAGCCCTTCCAATATTGATGCAAATTATTCTGAAATACCTTAGAAAAGGATTTCTTCGGCATTTCTCAATACTGCCCTTTTTGAAAAGGGAAACTAAAGACATGTGTTGTCCATGAACAACAGTTTTGGCATCACCTGGGAGCCTCTTAGAAATGTAGAAATACAGAGTAGCACTCTAAACTTAACTGCAACTGAGTAACTTTTTTTAAAACTCAGTAACTTTTAACCATATCCACCCTAACCCTCCACCCCTACCCTTGATTTAGGTTTGAGATGTACTCTTCTGGGAACCTGTGGCTTGTCTTCCTGACATTAACTCCATTGGATTGACAAAGTCTAACGTTGCCTCCATTAATAATAGTCAATGTGATGCATTCTGCTATTTTAGAAAATAAGATTTGAAAAAGTATTTATGCATGTATTATCTGTTTTATTACATTGCCCTTACTTTTGCTACACTAAAGTTATCTCTGCAATGTAATATTTACATTTTTTAAAACTTCTCATTTTGATCTTTCTCTACTTTCATTGTCCATTAAAATGTTCATTGTCCATTAAAACTTCTATATTACTTTAATTATTTCCAGTTCCAGTTTTGGGGTATCTTCTTGTTTTTTTGCCTGTTACGTTTATTGTCTTTAGGTGTGTATCATTTTATCAACACAACACCCCTAACTCCTTATCTTTCTACCCCATATATTCTCCATTTGATCTTTTCTGATTCTCATCTTGGGTCATTTCATGTTTGCTTCATATTTATTTTTAAGTGCCTCCAAAAGCTGTGACCTTAGTCCTTGGAGAAAATAGTTCCCTGAATTCATTTTGTGAATGTTTCAGCTCCCTTGTGAAAGTGCTTTATAAAATGCTATTTTAGACCTATAGAAATTTGTCATTTCCATCATTAAACCTTCCAACTGTTATATCTGTTTTGATAACTCTTAAAGTTGCTTGTTTGAGCCAGACTACTTTCAAACGCATAAGTTTCTTGCATGCTAGTGTGATATATATATTTTCCCTCAGTTCTCTTTTAAGACATTTTTACTTAGGCTACCTATCTTTTCAAAGACTATATATTTCAAACTGAACATTATTATTTTGTTCCTCAAACTGATTTTACTTCACACCTATGTTGCTTTTGTCAGTGCTACAAATATTCTTCTAGCCTCTAGAAGAAAATTTAATGCTGTCTGTTTTCAGCATTGAATTTTATTCATGTTCTCCCTATTTCCCTATCTCCATACAGCTTCCTTCATCACTTAGAATCTGAACCAAATTCTACCTTTCTTGCTCCTAGCAAACAGCTTTATCTTCTTGTTTTTTCTCTTGTGAAGTCTTTCTTCCCTTTCACGTTAAATCATCTATTTAATCTTCTTTAAATTGCTCCCCCAACTCCCACCAAGATTTACTGTCATATCATTATCTTCTATTTCTAGTAACCTTTCTACCGTTGATATTTTAAATTTCTCACTCATCACTTATCCCTCTCCTTAACCTATAAACATGCTTGTTTTCCCGGCCTGAATATTTCCTACATTGGCTAAACTTTTCATTGGCCATTCTCCTTACCTATAATTAACCCTTTTGCCAAAATTACCAAGAAAGAAATCGATACTGTTAAGATCCTCTTCCCCCCTTTTCCCATCTTTCATCGACTCCTTTTAAAACTGGACTTCTTCCTGCCCCACTAGTGTTTGAAACTGCATTTTCTATTTTTTTTAAATCATTTTATTGGGGGCTCGTACAATTCTTATCACAATCTATATAAAATTCTGCATTTTCAAAGCTCATCTATGGCATTTTACAAAACCAACCCCCTCTAACATTAAGTCAAAAAGATTTCTTTGAACTTGAATTTTTTTTTTTTTTTCATTTTGTAGGTAAAGAAACAGTTGTCAAAATTTTATAAGTGATCTGCTCAAAGTTAAGCTGTGAGACTGTGGTAGACTTAGATTCATAGTACACTTCTGTTGAGTGCTCATCTAGTAATCTTGCTCCTGTATTGCATTTTATCATTATAATACAGAAGTACTTGATGATACATAAAATATCAGCATAACTAATTTTTTATAAATTTACAAATTACCAAAGCAAGTAATGTTAGGCTCAGTAAAATTGCAAATAATTTAGCTATTTTCAATTGAAGTAAATTAATTTTGTTGTGTAATTTCTTCAAGTGAATATTAAAATAGACCTAATGCAATCAGTATAAACATGATACATTTTATATTGGATTCTTTTGGGAATTTAAAAATAATATTTACCATTAAATGATCAAATAAAATATAAAGTCAATGCATTATGTTATTTATATATGTTATATGTCTTTATCAAATGAGTTACATTGGTCTTAAAAAATTGTCCTCTGATGGTCAGAAATATTTGATTTGGTACTTTATTGTCAAAAACAATGAAACTTCTTTTTTCATTGACACTTGTTTTCCACCCTTTTTTCATTGACATTGTGTTTTGTGTAAACTTCTTAGGTAAATTCAATTGCTTACTATTTCCAAGATTCTTCTGATTGGGATGTTTCACAGTTGTTGTCTTTCTCCTCCTAATGTCAGCATTATCAATATCTATTTATCAAGATTGTCTCTGCTTTTATCTTCATTCTGACTTCTTTGATCTCTTTTTTCCTTTTTTAATTAGCTACATTTAATTCACTACCTTGAGGTTCAGTATTCATTTCAGTTAAGCATGTTGTACATGTACCGTGAACACTTCATGTTTACCTATCTACTTTGTAAAATAAAGGGACTGTTAGTAAT